ATGAAATATTTACCAAACATATAGATATTTGGTAAATGTTTAGTAAATATTTATGTAATATTTTAAGCAATCTGGGATTTATCGTTTTTGAATCCTTCTTTACAATCTTTTATTGATTTACTTGTTTCGGTTTGTAGATCTTCAACAAGTTCTTTAAAATTTGAAAAATTATTAGCATAATATAATGCAGCTTCCAGCCAACTACCCCATCTTGTTAAAACTGGCTCTGGTGGTAAAGAAGTGTTAGGCAAGCTCGCTTTAAATAGTTGTATTCGCAAAGGTGCTATGAGAAATAACTTTTTGCCTTTTTTTATAATCTCATTAACCAGAGGAAACTGTTGCCTTATAGTTTCAGCAACTCTATTATATCTATGTGCTAAGGATGTACACTGGATCATGTTAGATAAAATACTCTCAAGTTTGCAGAAGTTTTAACCATGACAGCAGCGTCGGAAAGCATGAGCAAAATTTAATCGTTGGGAACCGCATTGGGTAAATAAAAATTTGCTAATGATTCATGGATAAATCTAGAAACAGTGTTATTGTTTGTTGCTTCCAATTCTTGCGAACAAACGAGATATCCTTGTCTCGGTTCTTCTTCATGCATCAGTCCTACAATTAAATTTGCTATGTATCGGCCACAAACGTCCGTTGTTTCATCAACTGCAAACCAAATGTAATTGCTTTCAATTCCTTCTCTTATTTGCTTAATAGCTTCATTATACACCCATTGTATATAATTTTTGCGAAGTGTGCTTTCGTCTGGTACGTCAATCCTAGAGTATTTTTCCAAAAATGTTTTGAACCCCACATTCTTCAATTTATTCAAGGGTATATTAGATTGGACTATGACTCTGCATATTAAACTCTTTCTGGGCTCTATATCCAGAAGATGACTTTCAGCAATCGTTGTCTGCTTCGGTTTATTATTTAGTCTTTTAAATACTGCTTTATGCAAACTAGTTTTTACATGTTGAATTATGTTCTTTTTTGTCACACTGAATCTGGAAAGATGGAAAATCTGCCACTCAGACATTACATGGTTAAACAATATAAAGAATAATTTTACCATTTTACTGCAAGCGCGATAAAATAATTTACCACTTTGATATTTGAATTCTGGGTAGCCTCTAATCCATTCCTTGACACTGGGCGTCCTCTTAGGCATATTTAACCCAACACTAAATACAACTTTTCACGATATAAATTGATTATTTGTGCAAATTTTTCAACACCACAGCATCTGCTACCTACAACGACAAATTGAAACCATCGATAAAGACTGATTCAAGTAATTCACTAAATTCGAAAAGTCAAAGTCGGTAAGCTAACAAGGTACATACATATTTTACTGTTGTTATAACAAACAAAACAACCTGCAAAGCTAAATAAATCACCGAAAACGTGTGTTCATGTTATGTTATGTTATCGTTATTGAACTGTTAGAGAAATAAATTGAATATTCTTCCAGCAGCCAGTCGTTGCAAATCTAGCCAATCCGTCACGATGGACATTTCATTTATTTGATGGTTTATTAATTTAATTTATTCTTATCACTATGCAGTGACCTTAGGGTATGACAAAAAACGGCAACAGATAACAAATGCATGACCAAATTTCCACAATTTGTCATTCTAATAGCCTGAAAACAAAGCCATAACATAAATTAGAACGAGAAGATAAAGTACTTAACTAGAATTACGCAACAGTTTGGCCTCGTTAAAGGCAAATCATCTTGTTATAATCTATATATCAAGCATTAGTGGCCACTCTAAACCAAAGGAAATGTTTCTTTAAAACCAGACACATTTTTTCGCCACGGCAACAAGGTAAATCATCTTGGTTATATTCATTATACAATGGTGGCCATATTCATATTCATTACTAAATTTAACTGCACTGACCATTTAATTTTGAGTTCTCCATAACTTTGCTCCGTTCGCTTGAGAAGATATGTCTTGATAAAATGTTTAATACTTTTCTGTTTTTTTTATACAATTTTACCTTCATATAAAATTATATGCAAAAATTACAGGTAATAAATATATTTTTTTCAACTGCAAAGCTCTTTTATCCAATTATTCAAATGTGTCGCAAAAAATTAATATTTTTTTATGAGCGGTTACCTCTAAAAACGATAGAACCCGTAATACTCAAACTTAAGTGGAGAAATTGAGACAAAGAAGAAGAAGAAGAAGAAGACGGATGGGTATAAAATTAAAATATTTGGCAGAATTGAGCATTTCAGTGTCCCATTTCTGGCCTTAGGTACTGTCACCTAACTGTACTTTAACTCTGAGACACCCTGTATACATGGTGATTCAACCTTGGCGTCATTCCCTTTAAGGGGCTATAAGCGCTGACTGGGGACAAAAATATTGAAATTTTTTTTTATAATAACAATGTACAATAATTTTTTCGGAAATTTCTAGAAGACATTAATAGTTGAATCGAATTTCAACTTTGTTATTAAGTAATAAGTATTATTTTTAATTCTTAACCGTTCGAAAAGAAAGATTTCGATATTTGCTCAAAATAACGAAAATTTTTGATATTAAAAAAGTACTCTTTTTTTGCCTTTAATTTTTTGATGAAAAGTCAAAGCGGCAATTATGTTTTTTATCATTATGGGTTCGTTATTTCCACCCAGGTTCAGCTGGAATCCGTAGAGGATCCTTGTTTTACACTGTTTTTGTCCCGTGGCGATGGGTTGTCCCCGTCAAAAGGGTTTCCGGTCGTTGCATTAGCCCTGTAAATGGGGTGCCCAATGATCGCGAATTCGTTCTTGCTTTTTTATAATTATTATATTGTGATGGGAATTTTTAGCCCAAGTCCTGATATTTAGGAATCTAGAAAAAATCGGTGAGGGGAGTTTTAAGCTCCAACTCTTTTATCGATTTGGTGGAGAAGTCCTGGAAATCTTGGATTGAGAAAAAATCGGCGAAGGGGAGTTTTAGGCCAACCCCTTTTCAACGTTTTACTCAGCAGTACTAGGGTTATCCTTAACTTCAGGAAAAGCACTGTTGAAAAGTAGGTTTGGGCAAAGTCAGGATTTTTAAGGCCGTTTCTCTTTGTTGCTTTACAGGAGCTCGTCCACTAGAACTCAAGGGCGAATCCAGGGGGGGTCATGGGGATCATGACCCCCCCATTCAATTCTCTATCCAACGATGCCAAAACGAATTATCTGGCTCGAATGGTTCTTGAGAAACTTCGAAAAAAGCAGCGTCATGTTCAAGTGGATTTTGCAACTCAAAAAAACCATGCAAATCTAAAACTTCTTGAATTCAAGAATTTTTTGAGAAAACTGCCAACATTTTCTTATAGATGGTTCACTTGCTAAAAAGGCCAATTATTTATCTCTAGAATGACGTACAAATGAGCGTTCTTGCTTATTTTGTCTCCGAGAAATGAGCAAAAACGGGACGGAAAACATGAAATGTTGGCATAATCTTGCACCTAAGTGCCTGATATTCAAATTTAGCTTTCTGGTTCAAAACTACTCGAATTTCTTCACTCACGTTGTTACGACTGAATCACCTTTTCATTTCTCTATCCAACGATGCCAAAATGAATTATGTGGCTCGAATGGTTCTTGTGAAACTTCGAAAAAAGCAGCGTCATGTTCAAGTGGATTTTGCAACTCAAAAAAACCATGCAAATCTAAAACTTCTTGAATTCAAGCATTTTTTGAGAAAACTG